TAAACGTATTTTGTGCCACACTGACAAATTCACCAGGAGAAAACACACGCTCCTGGAAAGTATAATTCATAGATTTATTAGTCTACAGATTACTGGTACAACAGTTCACAATTGCTTGTTTCCTAGTGTTTACTGGAAATTAAGGTAAATAGGAGTTAAGATTCTTAATTATATATAACTGAAATAGTTAGAAATAAAGAAAACAAAGCTATATGCAAGTAGACAGGTAAAATGTGCTTTTGGTAAGAAAAGCTATAATATATGAGGATGTTTTGTTTTGTTCAAGAAACAGAAGAGCAAATTTTATACTGGTATAGAATGACCTGTTGTTTCAAAATGAGAAGAGAAGAAGTATAGGACAAAAATTGAATGTATAAGAAAGTTATAAAAGGTTTGTGAAAGATAAATCTTGTGAAAAAATTTGTGTTGATCAAGTTGGCTAAAATTAGAAGAGAATTATTTCTATGTTTTTCTAAAAATTGAGCATTAATATCAAAGGTACACTGATGCAAAATTAGAATTTGTTTCCTTGTGTTAAGCCAAGGTTTTCTTGGAGTATTGGTCTGTTCTTAGTAGGACATTGTGAAAAGTTTTTCTTTACCCTTGAAGTAATTGTCCTAGAAAACAAAGATTCTGCATTTTACTAAGATAATTTCCTGTGCTTCATGTTGTCTTCATTTGGTTTTTTGATCGTGTAAACAACTGAGTCCTCTCTATAAAAGATCGAAGGTTTTTCTATAACTGTAATTTTTCTGTGTTTGCCTTTAAAATCTTTAAATTATCACTCTGGTTAAAATGGATGACTATTAATATTTAGAAGTGATCTGTGATCCTATTTTATCAAGTATTTTAAACCTTTGATATTTTTGGCAAGCTTCCAAAAAATGAAATTCTAAATCAAGTATTTTTGTTGACCTCAAATTAACTTTGGGATTTTGCAGGTGAGCCTTTGGAACATCTCAGAAAGATAGCCCTCCTTATAAAAAGAGAGATATTAAAGTAATTCGGCCTATTTGATAAATAATATGGAAAGCATTATCAAATAACAAGCAATGTTAAACTTTCTTTAAGTTGTATTTGTATGGATGTGTTATTAATATATGTTCCAGAAATTTTATGAAATTCCTAGAAATCTGATCATTCCATTGGACCGAATGAGAATTCCCAGAACTGTTACAAAGAGACTGATTGATTCATAAAACTTCTAACCAACATCAAGTCAAACAAGAATTAATTGATTACTAAGAAAATGCTTTGGCAGATTTTCATGCTATGTCAGCCAGAAGTGAAGTTGTTTGGATAAGCAATTTGAACAAATATCATGAGATTGACTCAAGTCAAATTACCTATGATAACCCATTTAGTAAGCAAGCTATTGACCTGATTTGGAAATACAAAACTGACTTTTTTTTTTTTGGAGATGGAGTCTCACTCTGTCACCCAGTCCCCAGTCTCTGGAGTACAGTGGCGCAATCTCAGCTCACTGCAACCTCTGCCACCGGGTTCAAGCAATTCTTCTGCCTCAACCTCCCCAGTAGCTGGTACTACAGGCATGCGGCACCATGCCTGACTAATTTCTGTATTTTTAGTAGAGACGGGGTTTCCCATATTGGCCAGGCTGGTCTGGAACTCCTGACCTCATGATCCGCCCACGTTGGGCTCCCAAAGTGCTGAGTGTGCCAGTCAAAACTGACTTTTAAAAAAATATTTTTTAAAAAATTAAAATTTTAATTTATAATATATAATATATAACAAATATATTAAATATATATATAAATTCAATGTTAAATATGGACTCATGGAATGCACAGATGGCCTCCTAGTCCTTCCTGGGTCCTAAAAACTTCCATTATTAAAAGCTCTATACTCATCAAGGAAGAGATAAAATAATCCAAATTATGAGGAAAATATTGGTGGAGTGACTATTCTGAAATGAGGAAAATATTGGTGGAGTGACTATTCTTATCACCAATATTTGGTTTGTTAAACTGATAATGCTGGTAATATAATAAAAACCTCAAGTGATACATTTTTGGCACATGCTGGATCATTTGAACACACACAAATATATTTAATTCATTTGTCACCTTCAGTGCATATTTTCTGGTTTTATAGGTGTTTTTCTATGCAGGAAGGCTAATGCTATAACAATAGTGAAAAGGTTATTGGAAAGTGTCTTTATGGGGCATTCCTGGAAACATCTCTAGCAATATAGGTACTCATTTTACCAGAAAAGTTGTAAAACAGTTTAAAAAGGTATTAGAAACACAGTGGCATTAGACAAAGCTAACGGAATTTGTTGGATTGCATTGGTAAAAGGTCCTACTGATTGATAGCAATCAAATCCACTCCTGTAGGAAAAGACAGATTGACTCTGTGAAATAGTTATTGGAAGGCCTATGTCTCTAATAATAAAACCTCATATATCTCATGTTTTTCTAAATTCTGATATGACTCAAAATTGTGAGACTTCAATGCATTTTGCCAAAGCATATTTTCACCAGATGAAAGAAGCCCTTTGTGGCCCACCAACTGATAACAACCAGATCATTCATGATCTAGAACCTAGAGATCAGTTCTTTTGGAAACGACACCAAAGAAAGACTGCCTTTGAACTCCATCAGAAGGGACCACACCAAGCTCTTTTTTGCAGCACAACTTCAGGGATTTGAGTCTTGGATCCACATTTCTCAACTTGAGAGAACCCCTCCAGACCCTTGGGACTGTACACCCACTGGAGACCTCTAGGTAAAGCTTACTAGGGACGTTTTTTTTCCCCCAGAAGAAGATGGCATCCTTGATGTAGACAGCTTTCCCAAAATCATGAATAAAGTCTTTTCTCCTCTGTCAACATGAAGTCTTTTCCCCCTTTCCTTTTTGGCCCATGTTTCTTTTCTGTTTATACATGGCAATGTAATGTGATAATGAAGATTTCATAATCAATTACTTCTGCATGGAACTTAACTGAGTATTGCATATGTCATGGTAAACCTAAATCCTCACATGATCTTAGAGATACTCTGGTTAATCCTGTAAGAAATTTCACTGATATTCCATGTGCAATATCTAGTTCTTTCTAAACAGCTAGACTTTTAGACTGAAATATTCAGACTGCCTGTTTAAATCTAATAGTAGGCAAAACCTATAATGAGAGTTTGGTAGTTAAATTAAGCCAGAATTGAATTTGAAAAACAAAAGGAAGATAATTCGACGTTTGTAGGCAAATTTATAACCCTAATCCTTTAGTTGTTAGTATCTTCTAACCATACAATGATTAAAAAATGAGGCCTTAGACAAATATTACTAATGCTGACTCATAATGCTGACTCATAATGCACAAGGCATCTCAAACAGGAGACTATCTGTAGGGTTCTTCCGGAATATGTTTTTATTTGTGGAGGATTTAACAACCAACCATATATGTGGGCAAATCCATGTCTCAATAATTGCAAAATAAAGAGCCATTGGCAATTAAGGGATTCCAAGGGTACTCCTGTCACTCCATAACTAATTGGAAACTTGATATTGGTCTGTAACTCTTAATTTGAACTATGGAATAAAGAGGAGTTTACCAGCAGGTATGAATTCTTCTTAATGGGTATTGTTGGGTAGAAAATTCCTTCCCTGGCTTTGTATAAATGTAAAGGAGGTTATGCTTAGAAATATGTCTCATGCATTAGTTACTATAGCTGATTCTACTGCAAACGCTGTAATTGTCCAGCAAACTTCTTTAGATTTTCTTGCTAAAGGCATATTAGGTAACCAGCTTGCTTTGGACTACCTTTAGGGAGGAATATGTGCACTAGCTAACAATCCCTGCTGTACTTAAGTAAATTCATCAGATAGAGTAGAAGCTCAGTTGTAAGAAATCAGCAAACAAGCTAATTGGTTAAAACAAGTAGATTTTTATTCTGGCTTATTATTTATATATTTGATTTGTGTTGGTTCAATTGATGGATGGAGGCTCCTTCAGTCTCTTAGTATTAGCCTCCTGATAGCCATCGTAATAGTCTCCCTGGCACACCTTAACCTCCCCAGAGTCTTAAATCCTTTTATGCAGCTATTCATTCTATGTCAAATGGTCTCACTAAAATTAGAATAATGAAAACATAAAGAGAACATACCAGTCAACTGTCCTGATGTGTGAACTGTGAATTCCATACTGATACCAAATCAATCAGTGATGAAAGTGACAGAGAGTGGTGTCAATGTCCAAGGTTTTGGTCAACTTCTCAAAATTGAGAGGCAGACCAAAAGGTGGGAAGTTGTTAAATTAAATTTGGTCTAAAATTGCCACCATATGTAGCAAACTGCAACTTAATGTAGTTTGTAAACAAACTGCAACCGAACTTAAGAGTATTTTCTTGTAACAAATATGAGTCTCATCAAATCATGGCAGCTGAGCTTCAGCCAATCACAGGCTGCCAACTGATCAAACCATACCTATATAAGGCAAATTTCTCATCACACTATGTCCAAATCAGGCAAATGCTGAGCTGTAACCAATCAAAGTGTTTCTATATGTCACTTTCTTTTTCTGTCTATAAATACTGCCTGCCCACATCACTGGGTGAAGCTCTCTGAACCTCTACTGGTTCAGGATGATACTGATTAATGAATCATTCATTGCTTAAGTGAACTCTGCTACATTTATCTGTCTACAGTTTTTCTTGTAACAGTGTCTATGATTAAATAATAAAGGTCATCTACATATTTATATTTTATTTTGTCTTGTACAATTAGGAAAATGTGTTTTCTGCTGCTTGTTTGTTTGTTTCTTCATGCAAGGCTTTTTTTTCTCAAAATTTTCCCTTTCTTCATAAAACACCTTTTTAAGCCTGATCATGTTAAAATATTTACACATCCTCATTATAATCTCCAATGGTTAGGCTTATTATTTAATATAAAGATTGAAAAATACTCTAGAAGAAGAAGAAAAATATATAAATAATGCCCAGAATTATTTAGCATATTAAATAAAGATACTTTAAAGATCTTACCTGTCTTCAAAACTTTTGATAGTATCTGCCAAGGTTGAAGTATGTGCAGCCCATAAGTACTTCAACAGATCATCAAACTTACTAAAAGGTGACTGCAAATACTAAGGTAAAGAAGTCAAATGTATTAATATTTAAGCAACTATACAATACTTCTCCCTGAAATTTAGTCATGTTCAGATATATAATTTAGCAATATTCTACATAAAAGAAGAATTTTATTTCTAAGTAAAAATATGTATATGGCCTTAATGCCTAACACTCGTTAAAGAACACAAAAATATCATTAGTTTTAATAATAGCATATGCATCTGTAAGTATTGAACCTCAAGTATTTTCAGACTTTATATTTTATACAGATCATAAGGTCTTTATTTTTTCCTATTAACACTGCTAAAATTACCATAAAATCATGAGTAACAAAAATATCTTATTAAAATATTTCATTAGATCTGAACTAATGCAATAATCTACTAAAGTACTAGTAAATATATCTTTTCTTCATTGAGTTTAGTCAAATTTCTTCTAATATCCTAGTGGACATGAAGATTCAATTAATCAGAATAGCCTCTTCACCATTCAGCCAAATATCCTGTATGCTCACCATTTTTTATAATGTATTTGAGGCAAGAAGAATGGATAGATTTATGTTAATGCTGTATTGAGGCAGTAGGTATTAATTACTCAGAGCACTCTACTATACAATATATTTTTAATATATCATGCATAACAATTTACATTTGCATACTAAGGAAAATATTATGCAATGCACAAAAAAATCCTAGATGAAATGATATGACAAAATAAATTCTCTTCCTATCTCCTAAGATTATAAAGAAGGAACCTGGTAAAAGGTGTTCCACTTGTTCATTGTCTCAAGGAAGGATGAACGACAGCTGGAAACATCATAACAAAACTTCCTCTCATTCTTGGGTGGGGGCAAAAGCCTGACTTCGTCTGATGATATCCCCATTATACCAGAATCAACCGCAGCAAGGAAGGGTAATGAAGACAGAAAATAATTCAAATCTGTAAGAACAAAAGATTTATTATTACCACAAGCACTAACAAATTTCAAAGAGGATATTTTTAAGGAAGGTATAAGTCATTAAAAAAATTCACAGACCCAGAAACATGAAAAAAGCTAAACACTAGGAAAAAAATATTGAGCAAAAATCCCCTTAAGGGTCAAGTACATAATTTTGATTGTGTTTCTGTTAATAACCCCATAATCATAAATATATAACATGTTGGCTAAAGTAGTTGACTATGATATTTCAAAACAAAAAGTAATTTTAATGGATTTCGTAATAGTCAGTTTTCAAAGTATTAAGTAGAAATGGAAGAAAGTTATCAACTTTTCCTCAGAATGGTACAAAACCTCTCATTACGGTTTTATTGTGAATTGTATTTGTAGTTTTCTCTAAAATATTTTAACATGATTATAGCCTTGGTAAATGAATGTTTTCTATTTTATATATGTAAGTTTAATTTGTAACCATGATATAACTACATTTTTATCTTATTTTATGCCTTTAAAGCAAAAATTTCGGGTAAGTTTTGACAATAGATCATTGGATAATTGGACTGACAATCAAAGAAGACTATTTTTACATTTTTAAAAATTTTACCTATGTATAACCTATTCCAGCAGACTCAGACATTTTCATTAGTTGGATATTAGGCTTATACTGATTTCCACTAGAAATCAGTGACATAGAATATTTCATCCTAGACAGGCATTTGTGAATGGAGTCCTATGCCACAGTGTAGCTGGCTAATCCTCCAAACTACTAAACCAATCTAAGAATAACAAACTCTGAATTCTAGTTCTGTGGCCACTACTATTTGTGGGTCTTTTAAAAGAACAATTAGGGATAGTAAGAGGAAAATGCTTAAGGATACATATGGTGTGTGTCGCTCTGAAAAAGTGAAATTTAATGTGGTCATGTTTCTAACTATTGGGAAATACCTCTAAGGATTTGTGGTATAAATTGTTTTCATTACTAAAGCATAAAATTAAACGAAAGAATTAGAAAATACCTTCTGGTTATTTTAGCGTTAAAATATATGATTAAAGCCAGAGATTACTGATTGGTATAATGAATTGCAGTAGGTATTAATCTCTGGCATGTTTATGGGTTTCAATATTAACCACATCTGGTCTGAGCAAAATGAAAAAGCATCATTTATCTTGATGTCTCACTTCTCATCGTTCCTTATTCTGGAGATTCTTTGTTATCAGTTGGACCTCCCACCTAACTGCCAGAACTGGCCTCTCAGAGGCCATTGCTTTTGTAGAATCTTATTTTTGTCATTCTGTGAAAAGCTGAATACGTCCTAAGGAATCATTATTGACGTTGTGGTTGTTAAATCTCTTAATGTGACCTAAAGACCATAAGGTACATGGTGAAATAGATTCTTTTTTAAAATAGGAACAAGGTTGTTTTAGTTCTGTCTCTGTCCCTAAGATTTTAGATTTGAATGCTTTCTTTCAGGAAAGGTTAAAATCTATTTTGCCACTTAAATGAACATACCAGCCCACCAACTGTCCACAGAGACGCACATGTGATCTCCAGATTCATAGCCACAGTTTGTCTGTCGGGTTGGATCAGCTAATCTGCCTGGAGGAGAGAGGATGCACAGTTGTATTTATTATACACATTTTGGAACTGGCTGTAACTACTGCTTAACCACGTAGATTTTGTTTGTAGATACAAAAGCATTTATTTCTGAATGATATATGTTGGTATTCCCATCATTCTTTTCTATCTTTTATTTTTTAGACCCCAATAAATTTCTTTTCTTTTCCTTAACAACAACACAGTTTTCTACTTTTGAATTATAGGTCCTAAATATTATTTGCTTTTGTAAGGATTCTCTCTTCTATTTCCTCCTCTACCTCCTAATCGAAACTATGAAGCAATATGCATACACATAAAAAGAGATGATCAAGAGTCAAAACAAACCCCTGCTCCACCACTCACTAGCTTGACTTTATCTAAATAACCTCTAATGCCTTAGTTTTCTCATCTACGACATGGGGATAATAATATTAACTACATTATAAGGTTGCGATGTGAGGTGAGAAGAAGCACCAAAGGTGTTTCAAGTGTAATATGCATTATATAAATATTAGAAAATAATCATTGCTTTTCTTCCAAATGAAATTACTCTTTTCTTAACCTCTCTCTCACACACAATATTTTCTTTATTGGCTGTGTTATCAGTGTGGACTGGGAAGCAGGCACCACTCTTTCTCATGAGCTTCTATCAACCAGAACAAAAGTATCTTTCAATTCATGCATATTTTATCCCAAAACGTAACTTCTGTCTATACACTGTAAGGTACTTTACTTCCAAGAGGAAGCAAATGTTTTACAGAGAAAGATCCTCATGCACAATGTGATGATTCTTTATAACCTCTTATCATAATTGGAACTCTAAGAAATTCAAACTAATTTGGCATCACTTTGTATATCCCTTTGACTGTTCGGTTCATCTCATTGCTTAGAAAGGAGTGTGGCACTTAGTAGAATTTCAATAAATATTTGTGAAATGCTCAATAGATGAGATGTGATGTCTTTTCACAGGTGATAACTATGTCTTATGCCTCATTGAACTTTCTAATAATAACGCAAAACCCACAAAAGAAGGATTTATGAATAAGGAGAAGGATAGGTAGAAAAACAAATACTATAAGGGAAAAGAGAGCAAGATAAAGAATCAATTTTTAAAAGCATGGTAGGGTATATACAGAGTATAATTTCCCAAACACTTCTTAGGTCTACTGGTAGATCATTACAATGAAAACAAGAGTCATTCTTACCTGTCTTATATTGCCAGCCATATTGCAGAGGCAATCCCCATAAAATATTTTGTTCATTTTCTGGTGCAAATTTTGCAAAATACCTGGCCGTCTGGTTCAATAGGATTTTATACATCCCCATTCTCTCAAGGTATACCCACGGATTAATAATGTACACGCTGTTCTCCACCCTGTAGTCACTGAGCTGACCAGGACTCTCCTTCCACAGAGGGGGCTCTATATCTGAGAGATTGGAAGTCCCTGCTAAAGAAGCAGAAAAGTAACCAACTAGTACACAAACCCAGGAAGGAAGAAAAGCCATTGTGCCGGAGCTGGGGATTGAGATTGTGGCAGGGCTTTTATTGGAGAATGGAAGAGGAAGTCATGATATTTGATTACCTGACTTTGCTTTTTTTTTTTTTTCCTGGATAGGGTGAAAATGTAGAGGAAATTGATGTATTAGCTAATATTTAGTATACTTAAATTTTCCAGCCTCTTCAGTGTCAGAATACTGTGTCAGAACCTAAATACAAAGTTAGGCTTGTTTATAATGTATTAGATAAAACTATTTATCAACAAAAACCTTCCAGAAGTTTCCCAGGCTACATTGCAACTACAAAATACATCACAAATGGCTTTTGAAGCTTCCCTCTCATAAAAAGACTTTAACATATTTCATGGTAAATATTAAATAGCTGAAGATGGAAATACTAGGATTTATAATAATGTGCAAAGGTGTACTAGAAAATATATGTGATCCAGTTGTAATACAACTTTCTGCTTCAAGAAAGAAGCTTAAAGAATATCTAATTAGCTCAATTCAATAGTGAAAGTCAGCCTACTGGGGAAAAAAACCTGCTAGGTAATTCTTAATATCTATTTTTCATTCTTTATTTGTAAAAGAATCATAGAATTTTAGCTGGGAATATGGTTTCCCAGAATTAAGGCTAAATTTCCAGTTTTCTTTGCACAAGCAACCACGTGACTAAGTGTGGACCACAGAGATATAAACAGAAATAGTGTCCACAGTTTCTGGGACATGTCCTAAGATGGAGGGCACATGTCAATTCCTCTTCCCTTCCTCCATGTTGTGGTTTGGATTATTGATGTGATAGTTGAAATTCAATCCCGACACCTAAACACAAGGCACTATTTTAGGGATAAAAGAATGCAAAGTTGGAGGTGGCTTGAGTCCCAGAGAACTGTGGAGCCATAAGATGCCCTTGAATTCCTATATCTGAGTTTTGCCTGAGAAAGAAACACCCTGCTCTCTTGTTTCAACCACTGTTGTTGAGGTTTTATTCACACATTGTCAAAATTCTTGCCTTATTAATAGGTAATGCAGCTGAAAAGCTCAATTATTCACATAATTAGATCCATATGCTTCGTAGTAGGTCAATGGTAGTGCTCGCTCCTGGCATGGTCCATATTAAACATCCTACAGCATGATTCCACTCTTTTTTCCTGTCATATTATTTACCTAATAGCCATTTGATAATTAATAAATTTTCCGGAATATTAATATAAAAGGGAATGATAGGAATTGCTATTGTGGATGAATAATGCAATCATTCTGGAATTTTAAAAGTATATTAATCTTTATAAAAATAAATACATGAATATGTACTATAAGATATGTTTCTCTAAAACCAAATGCCAGATTGTTCTCAATGGAGAAATCTTAAGAGCACTCCCTTTAAAGTCAGAAATAAAGTAAAAATGACCACCAGCATTATAATCATTTAACTTTTGTTTGAGGATGCCAAACAATAAAGTTAGTAAAGATAAATACATTAGAAGTATAAAATTGAGAATGAAGATGTGCTAGTACTTTTTTTATAGATGACATGACAGTGTTCAGAAAATACAAGAGAATAAACTGGAAGGGTAACTACAAAGAAAAAATTTACTAAAGTGGTTAAGAGCTAAATTACTATATATAAATCAATAGCTTTTATATATAAAAGCAATTGGGAAATATAATAGACGAAATGGAAGAAAAGTCCTCATTTTAATGTTAACAAAAGGGCCAACATATAAGTGTCTAATTATGATAGATCTGTTTGGAAAAATCTTTAAGACTGCAAAATAATTGAACAGTTTTAAAATCATACAATGTTTCTCAATAGACTCAACCTTATCAACATGTTAATTTAAAAATTTGTACAATAAATGAGAAATATTAATTAACAAGATTTTTAGACGTGCTTTCTAGAAAGATTTTTAGAACCACTGAGGCTAAAATTTGTCAAAAAATAAATTGTGAAGAAAATAGAAAAACTCTAATAATAATGGATAATAATAGTGAAAGGAAACTTTCCATAACAGGTATTAGAAGATTATTACAAGCCCTCAAAAATTAAAGTAATACACTACAGTCATTGATGTAATGGTGTAACCAGTTACTCATTAAAGAAAACAGAAATACTGAACTATATTGGAGAAAGATTTTAAACGAAGACCAAAATACAATGAGAATTTAATGCGAGCTATACTGGAACTAGTAGTTATTGGAATCCCCATATACAGTGGGAACAAAGTAAGAGTACATCTTGATGGAAAGATATTTGTTAAAGATATAAAAGAAATAATATCCATAGTAGAATCTGGATCTTCTTGTGCAAAATTATTAATAGAAGAGGAAATTAGTTAGACGCTTACAAACAAACCTCAAGTGAACATCAAACATATCATGGCATGCACTGATAGTTACATAACCTGATATTCACTCTTCTCTTATTTATTTGTAAGAACACATTTAATCCTTAGCACAACACAGTCTTCCTGGAACAGAGATTATATTATTTAGTCTCACTGCTTGATGTAGCTACATGATAAAGCTGTGGCCAAATTGTTAAGTTGCAGCTTTTAAGGAATCTGCTTTATACCTTGTCCTTTATTCTTTGTTATTTCTTCCTCTGCTAGCTGGAATGTAAATGTAACTAGACACTGATGCTGGGAAAGGTAGGAGAACAATAAAATAGAAGACTTTTGATTTCTAGTTTCTACAGCTCTAGATTATCTACTTCTGATTGCTGGCTCTATGAAAGAAAAAAAAATTCAATTTAAGGCAATAATATATTTTATGCTGGATTTGTACTGCTTGGAGAACCTAATCTGAACAGACATTCTAATTTTGTCCTTTAACATTTCTGAACCTCATTTTTTCTTAACTATAAAGTAGAAATAGTGTTACATGCTCCTAAATCCACTAATTATAACTCCTTTTCAAGGTAAGTTTCTGATATTTGGGAAGATAATTTGTATTAGATATTGGATAGACAATTACATGTTTGAGTCACCCACATACAATTACTCAAACTCGAAAAGGTCAATGGGAAATAAATACTAATATCCCAATTTACCAATAATAGCTAAGACTTATCAGGGTTAAGGATTTACCCAAAATCACATACAGGTCCCAGATAAGAAAGCCTAATTTTGATTCCAGGCCTGCCTGATGTCAAAGCCAGGGCACTTGTAGGCTGTGTTGTATTATGCCACAAAATACTGATGCAAATAATATTATAGGGAAATTTTAGCTTATTTAGGAGAATAAATTGTGTTCAAAAAAATCTGCATTTTTATGGCACTTGAAGATGTTTTATTCATTTTCCTAGAATGCTGATTGCAAGTGTATATTTATTTATTTATTATTTATTTATTTTGAGACGAAGTCTTGCTCTGTCACCCAGGCTGGAGTGCAGTGGCGCTATCTCTACTCACTGCAAGCTCCGCCTCCAGGGTTCACACCATTCTCCTGCCTCAGCCTCCCGAGTAGCTGGGACTACAGGCACCCGCCACCACGCCCGGCTAATTTTTTGTATGTTTAGTAGAGACAGGGTTTCACCACGTTAGCCAGGATGGTCTCTATATCCTGACCTCATGATCCGCCCCCCTCGGCCTCCCAAAGTGCTGGGATTACAGGCGTGAGACACCGCTCCCGGCCGCAAGTGTATACTTAGATGGTCATATTGAGGCAACTTTCAGGAGATTGAAGACAGGGGATCTGTAATGTCAACTTAAGCTTGTTACTAGCAGTGTGAATTTAAGGACTCTAAATTTGCTCCTCTACAAAAAGAGAATAGTAAAACCATTCTTTCTTATTACACAGAGGAATGGAAAAACCCAAATAAGATGATGTAGGCAAAAGGAGTAAAAGAGTATAAAACTATGTAAAAATTTTTAAAGCCTTTTCGTTAAAATTAAACAACCACTCTGGAATATGTTTGATCCATTTCTATATTCTTTTAAATATGTGCCTTGACTTATTAATGATTTGGTTATATTATTGAATTAGTTCAATGCAGTCATTGTCCTCTTCCTTTTCCCATCCTCAGTAACAGTAGAAAAACTTAGATTATTTTGTATACAAAACACACAACTCATGGTCACACAGGTAGAATGGCAAGAATCAAAAACGTTTAAAAAACTGACAAAAAGACAAGCTGTGGTTAACTTTCCTAACATAAAATAAACGTTCTTGGCAAATATTCCAAAATACTTAACTGATTGACACTTACGAAGCAGTATTATCTTACAGTTAATTTGGGGGGTTATATTACCTATATTTATACAAACATTTTAGTATATCAGAGTAATTATATCTTTCCTGATTAAATATCCTATGAGTATACTTTTTTCTCTGAAAGTGGTTCCTATTTACTCCAGTGTAAATGGAGTTTCACGCTTTTCCTTATGATGAAATATTGAGAATGAAAGCAAAAAAGAAACCACCAACATGACACCTTCCTTGGAACAAGGATATGAATACATTTGAAAATCACAGACTATGAAACATATTTATCAAATAGTATAAAATATACTACACATGAAGATAAAGATATTTACTGAACTCCTTGATGTAGCATAGGTAATGCCTTACCTTTTTGTCAGGTCTAGAGTCACAACATGGACTATAACTAGATAAGTGATTTTAAAATATGCTAGAGATATGATTTAAAATCTTCATTGAAAGATAAATCAGGCCAACGTGTGACTCTGATTATCTATAATTTTTCCTCTTTGAGAGAGGACACTGTCAGATGTGCAAGTTGGAAAAAGAGGGAAAAGAAGGGGAAGTCACCAGATAATACAACGAAGAGCTGATGAGATGAGGGATTTTACTGTGTGCTGCCCCAAATTCCTGGATCCTGATAATTACCCAGACAGAATTCAAAATATATCAGTTCAGACAGTTAAGGAGAGACATGATGGTGGAAAAAAATAAGTGCACATTTGACAGAGATTTATTAGGGCAGCTGTGTTTAACCAAAGCTATAGGCTTTCCTAGTTCATTCTTCCTCTGTCCTTTCTTCAGATATTCCT